TCCATTCCCACTGACTGTACCTAAACCGGGCTCTCATTGCTTTGTAACTGGCCTTCCAGTTACTCCAATAGCGTCACCATCACCAACATTATCACTTTCCTACCGTTTATATTAATGCCGTGCCAGGCAATGTGATATGTGCTTGGCCATATTATATCATTATCTCTATTTTATAGATGAAGAAACTTAAGACATAGAGTTTAGTGATTAGGTCAAGATCATACAACTATATATGGGTTTTAAACACCCATGTGCTTTTCTAGAACATTGTTTTTCTAAAACCCTGCTGTCACTCCATTGCTCAGAAACCTTCCAAGTTTCCCATTGTCTAAGGAACTAAAGTTCACATTCCTCAATTCCTCAGCTGGGGAGGCTCATTTCCAATCTACACAGCTCCAGTTTCTCTCCCATTTATCTCCATTTTTTGGTGAGAGAGAGCCCAGGAGTCAGGAAACCTAAATTCCAGTCCTGGTTCTGCCACTCACTAACTTTGTCCAATGAGAGTGTAAAATCTGAGTAAAGGTAAGTTGATCAACTTAGCAGTTGGGTCTGAACAGTACTGGGCTACAAATAAATGGTTCTGGTGCAGGTCTTTTGAATGCTGGCAAGTCTTAGAAGTACACAGGGAGGTGTTTTATGGCTTTAATTTTCAGTTCATTCTCAACTTATTATTTCTTCTTTGAGATGTTTGTAATAGTGAAAAATTAGATAATCCAGTGATAGAAGATGAGCTAGAAAAATAAAATATCTAATAGTAGATTATTATTTGGAACAAACTAAATGCCTCTGGCCAATTTTTTTTTGTTTTATGATGAGGGTTAAATGATAAGGTGCATGAAGGTGGTTTTATAAATTGGAAAGTATCATTCAAATGTTGGTTTGTTTTTGCCATTTGTTATATTTCTACATTAATTATAAAAATACTTCAAGCTCTGCAAGTAATTCCCCAAAAGCTCCCAAAATGATTTGAGCAATTTGGCATCATTGGAATTATATTTATAAGTGTTCCAAATTATTATTTTGAAACATAATTTGAATAGATAAGAATATTTTTAAAGCTTTACAATAGCAAAATTATTTTATTGATAGTTAATGGGGAGTGTTTATTAAGGAAATGATTGTAACTATGAGTGATTTGAGTTGGAGATGGAGAGGTTCACTGAGTCCCAGCACAATGAATGAAAAAGATCCCCCACTAAGACACATCATATGGCATTTCAGAACTTTGGGGGTAAAGAGACCTTTCTTCAGATCTTCCAAAAAGAAAAGGCAGGTTACATGAAAAGGAACAAGAATCAGAATGGCATGAGACTTTCAATTGCAGTGTTAGATGCTAGAAAACAATGTAGGATACATTCATAATTTTAAAAGAAAATTATTCCAGGCTAAAATTCTCTTACGTAAGGAAGAATAACAACAGACTTATTTTATGTCATGTGCTCTTTGTTATAAAGATATTTGAGGATGTACTTCCGAAAAATTAGGAAGTAAAACAAGAAAGGCAGTGACGTGGTTCTAAGAAATAGGGGATCTAACTCAGGAGAGAGGTGAGAAAGATTTCAGAATGACAGATGCACAAAGGGTTAGGGATTTTTAGTCCAAATTAGAGAAAGAGAGTTTCAGGAGAAAAAGCCTTTAGGAAAAAATAAATTCAATAGAATAATAATAGTTGGCTGAACCATTTGAAATTGACTTTTTTTGAAGATCAGAAGGAGTTGAATTATAGCAACATGATATGCAACATTAATAATAGCTGAATTCATAGTATGTTCACTACTTGCCAAAAGCTGTTTTATGTAGTGTACGTGTGTTATCTCACAATAATCATGAGGTAGGTACTATTATTTTCTGTTTTAAGATTGAGAAAAACTGGGACGAAAGGAGGGTTTGGCTAAGGTTAGGTTTTCCAAGGTCATCCAGCACATATAAGTATTGGAGCTGTGGTTTGAATCCAGGCAGCCTAATTTCAGAGCATAGGTTCATAGCTTTATGCTATAGAGGCAAGAGATTGGAGGATACTTTTTTGTGAGCTCTGACCAGTCCCAGCAGAAAGGCCTGCAGTACGGACAGCCAGGTTATTGTACAATGAAGCCCTTGGTGCAAAAGCCCTGCCTACCCACTTGGAACTTCCTATCAGCTCTTTGAAGGAAATTTTAAATATATCATTAATATTGGTAGAAAAATAAGAGAGGTAGAAAATTTAAATGAAAGGTGAAACCAGAACAGAATACCATATAAAGGAACCATTCAAAGGACAAAATCTTTAAAACTGAGTATAATAGCATAAATGAAAAGCTCAATTGGTGGGGTGGAGGATGAATCTGAGGATATTTAGAAATTAGAGCATGAAGGCAAATGATGGGAAACAGAAGAGAAAGGATAAGATTAGAAGACTTGTCCTGGTGCCTCAGCTCTGCAGGCATTTCTGCAGAGAACAGAGAAAATGGGAGGCAGAAACCCATTGTGAAAATAATTCAAGGACATTTTATAGCACTGAAGGTTATGAGTTTTGCTTTTGAAAGGGCCTGCTCAGGGCCCAGCACAATGGATGAAAATAGAGCCGCCCTGGAGGACGTCACTGCAAAACTTCAGAATACTGGGGGCAAGGAGAAGGTCTTGTAAGCTTCAAGGGAGAAAAAAATATAAACCACATTGAAAGGATCTGAAATTACTGGAAGTGACTCTGAATTTCCCACTGTTATCACTGCAGTCTAGAAGCAATGCCTTCAAAATTCGGGGAGGTGCTGACTTTCAATATAGACTAGAGGTGGCCTCTCTGCCTCTCTCTCTCTCTCCCTCCCCATATATATGGAGGGAGGCTATGAGCGCTAATCCTCACAGATCATAAGAGAAAATAAAGAGACACTGTTTACATTAGATAAATTTAAAAATCGCATCGTAAACACATAATACAGAATTACAGTAGAATCTACTTGAAGGAATACTTCAAAAAGTTATAAGTGGTTACTTTTAGGGATTTGGATGGAGGCTTTGGTGAGCAGGGTATGGTCAATGACTTTTCGTTCCTGGCAAAGGAAACCATAAATAAAATGAAAAGATGACCTACAGAGTGGGAGAAAATATTTGCAAATGATGCATCTGACAAGGGCTTAATTTCCAGAATATATAAATAGCTCATATAACTTAATAACAAAAAACCCCAAACAAATCAACCCAGAAATGGTCAGAAGACCTAAACAGACATTTCTCCAATGAAGACATGCAAATAGTCAATAGGCATATGAAAACATGCTCAATATTGCTAAGTATCAGAGAAACGCAAATCAGAACTACAGTGAGTATCACCTCACACTGGTCAGAATGGCCATCATTCCATTCAAAAGTCCACAAATGATAAATGCTGGAGAGGGTGTGGAGAAAAGGGTATCTTTCTACACTGTTGATGGGAATGTAGTTTGGTGCAGCCATTATGGAAAACAATATAGAGATTCCTTAAGAAACCAAAAATAGACCTACCATATGATCCAGCAGTCCTACTTCTGGGCATGTATCTGAAGGAAACTCTTAATTTGAAAAGACACTTGCACCCCACTGTTCGTGGCAGCACTATTTACAATAGCCAAAACATGGAAGCAACCTAAATGTCCATGGACAGATGACTGGATAAAGAAGTTGTGCTATATACACACACACACACATACACACACACAGAATAGAATACTACTCAGCCATAAAAAAGAATAAAATGATGCCAGCAACATGAATGGATGTGGCAGTTGTCATGCTAAATGAAGTAAGCCAGAAAGAAAAAGAAAAATACTATATGATATTACTTATATGTAGAATCTTTTAAAAAAAAAGACTGATTTACAAAACAGAAAGATTCACAGGCATAGGAAACAAATTTACGATTGCTGGTGGGGAAAGAGGTGGGAAGGGGATAAATTGGGAGTTTGAGATTTGTAGATATTAACTACTGTATGTAAAATGGATAAACAGGGCCCTACTGTATAGCATAGGGAACTATATTCAATACCTTGTAATGGCCTATAATGAAAACGAATATGAGAAGAAATACATATATATGTATAAATGAATCATTATGCTGTACACCAGAAATTAATACAACATTGTAAAGTGACTGTACTTCAATTTTTAAAAAATACAAGAAAAAAAATGTTCGTTCCATATGGGCCTTTTGTCACCCTGTGATTTCTAAATCTGTATACATGAATTTGTTTAATTAAAATTTTTAAATTTTTAGTTTTAAAATCAGTTGTCTTGCATTACTTCATTAGGGTTATGAAAGCAGCAAATGGAATATTTGATATGAAAAAGTTTGTCAATTGAAACTGTTATTCAGTTGAAAGTGATAATATGATCATGTTGGCTAAGAGGCCAAAAGACGGGTTGTTGGGGAGTTACGTTTGGTAGATGATAATGTCATTGTATCTGTTAACTGTGGCCACAGTAGTGTAATCACAAAACAATACACGTTCATGTTTCCTCATGAGTCCAGGCTCAGCTTGTGTGTTCGCTGATCTGATCCGGGCTCAGCTGATCTCAGCTGGCCTTGCTCCTGCATCTGAGCAGACTGTCTGGTTTGGCTGCTCTAGGATGGCCTCAGCCACGTAGCTGGCGATTGGCTGTCTATGAGCAGACGCACCAGCTCTCTCCCACATCTTCTGTCACCCTCCAGCAGGCTAGTTAGCCTGGGCTTGTTTCTGTGGTGGAGGCAGGAGTCCAGAAGAGAGTAAGGTATATGCCCTAGGCATTTGAAAGCCTAGGCTCAGAACTGGCACGCACACTTTCTCATCTGCTGCATTGTTTTAGTCAAAGCAAGTCACAAAGGGTGGGAAGGAGACTCCTTCCCTTGGTGGTAAGAGCTGCAAATTCACACTGAAAAGGAAAGGGGGAGAAATGGGGCCATTTTTGCAGTGCATCTAGCATAGTCAAGTATTTCCCCATCTATTTGGAATGACAACCTGGAAGGACATTAGAAGACCGGTAACTGAACTTACTTTCTTTTTCCTTTGTAGACAATGCGAGAGGTGTAAGACTCTTCCATTTAGATCCACAACTTCAAATTCTCAGCATGGAAAACTCAGAGAAGACAGAAGTGGTTCTCCTTGCTTGTGGTTCCTTTAATCCTATCACCAACATGCACCTCAGGCTGTTTGAGCTGGCCAAGGACTACATGAATGGAACAGGTAGGAACAGTAACCTAAAGCAATGATGGGGTTCAGGATACGCTACCCCAAATATGGCCCCTTGTTATATTGGATATTTTAAGCTGAAGGAGTTTGGGAAAACAACAGAAGCAGGAAGGTCACTCTGACCTCCTTCCCTCACCCCTTGTCCCTAAAGCAGGTTGTAAAATCTTCATGTGAACAGGGGAGGGTATAGCTCGGTGGTAAAGCGCCGGCTTAGCAGGCATCAGGTCCTGGGTTCAATTCCCAGTACCTCCATTAAAAATAATAATAGGTGGGGAGGGTATAGCTCAGTGGTTAGAGTGCATGTCTAGCATGCACGAGGTCCTGGGTTCGATCCTCAGTACCTCCATAAATAAATAAATAAACCTGATTACCTCCCCCACCAAAAAATATATATATATATATATTTTAATAATAGACAAATAAACCTAATTACCAACCCCCCCAAGTAAAATAAAACCTTCATGTGAGAGATGCTCTCCCTAAACCCAGAGGAAAGGAGCATCCTTACCTTTGAGGACAAAAGGATGCCAAACGAATAGGCCTTGCTAAGTTTCCCTGAGTTTTCTACACTTACCTCGTACTCTCTGTCCTGTCATATTTCCCCATGACTGTCCACTCTTCGTCAAACCTAGCATAAAAATACTTAGGTTTAACTGTTTCTTGGGGTCTTCGTTTCCTTATGAAGGCTCCTATGTCTCATGAATCTTGTATTCAGTAAATGCGTGTGCTTTTTTCCTGTTAATGTCTTTCAGTTTTACACCCAGCCAGGGACCCATAAGAGGGTAGAGGAAAACTTTTTCTCCCCTACGTACACACAGATTTATTTTGTTTTTTCACATAAATGATCATGTGCTGATAAATAGATGGATGGGTGCTCAAACTCTCCAGTGACCAGGGGACTAAAATAAAAAATTAGATATATTTCACCCATCACATTGACAAAAATTTTAAAACTTGATAATGTCAAATGACAGATGTTGGGGAAGAATAGGCTCTTGCATATGCTATAGGTGGACAATACAAATGGAGTTAGGCTTTTTACAAGGCAGTTTGGGGATACCGATCAGAATTTGAACTGTGCAGAGTAGTGGGGAGTTTGTGTTTAATGGGTGCAGAATTTCAGCTGGGAAGGTGAAGGAGTCCTGGAGATGGACGGTGGGCATGTTTGTACAACCACGTGTATGTACTTAAACTGGTTAAAGTGGTGAATTTTATGTTATATATGTTTTACCATATAATGTTTAAAATTAATAAATAAACCTGAATCCCTGTTAAAAAGGGTGGGGGGTGGAGATGTATGATTATAAAACCATATTGATGATAATATTTCCTGTGCATAAAATCTAATTCCTTACACCTCTTATCAAACCTAACTCTTTTCCCAGGAAAATACAGGGTTATCAAAGGCATAATTTCTCCTGTCGGTGATGCATATAAGAAGAAAGGACTCATCTCTGCCCATCACCGACTTATCATGGCCGAACTCGCCACCAAGAACTCAAACTGGGTGGAAGTTGATACATGGGAGAGTCTTCAGAAGGAGTGGGTGGAGACTGCTAAGGTGCTAAGGTATTCACAGTGAAGTCAGCTTTGTCAGTTCTGAGATATAATGGGTTGGGGGCTTTGGTGGCTTTTGGCATGTTTCTGTGCTGCCCGTGTCTGAATACACAGATTTGTAAGGCTGTCACCAGGGCTGGAAAGGCTTGGGCCATGCCATTCCAGGGTTATGACATGAGGAGATTTAGTTAAATCACCCATGCCAAGGGTTGAGGGTGGTGGTTAGCACATAGTAAATAATTAACGTTAATTCTTGTTACTGTGACACAGACGCAAAGCTTAGAATGGTAATAGCTACCACTTGCCGTCCTCCCAGGAGTTTCCTTGCTTTCCATTCTTGACAGCCAGAACCCAGGGCTACAGTGGGCCGGCCAGCATCCATTCTGACCCAGTAGTACTGTGTGCAGGAAGGCATCTGTTCTGACTGGTCAGGCACTGTGTGTATCTGTGGATAAACGTTTCTAACATCACCCAACCTTTAACCTTACATGAGAGGCTCTTAGGCATCTCCAGAGGGATGGTATTTCAGTCGAGCATTGTGAGGAAGAGAAATGTCCTGTTCCTTTGTTGGTCTATAGACACCATCAGGAGAAGCTGGAGGCTAGCGCCTGTGATGACCAGCAGAACTCACCTGTGCTGGGAAGGCCTGGACGGAAGAGGAAGTGGGCTGAACAAAGACAAGACTGTAGTCAAAGGAAATCCCCAGAGCAAACAAAAACAAAAGGTCTGTCTGTTTTACCAGGACATACCAACGAGAGCTGAGCAGGCTCTAGGACTGAGCAAACCCCCTTTGTGTTTTCCTTTCCTCTTCAGTGTCTGGGGGTGCTTGGAAAGTGCCCTGGTTAGTTTTATGATGGGAGGAAGAGAGAATAAAAGGCACCCTGAGCTTATTCCTCCTACTGTAGACCTTAACTTTTGAGGTGTCCTAGATCTCTTTTGAGAATCTGAATCCAATTAAAAAAAAAAAACCATGAACCCTCTAGCCAGAAAAACACATATACATATTCATCTTTTTTTGGGTGGCGGGGAGGTAATTAGACTTGTTTATTTTAATGGAGGTACTGGGGATTGAACCCAGGACCTCGTGCATGCTAGGCATTCACTCTACCACTAAGCTATACCCTCCCCCTTCATATTCTTCTTGATGCAACAAATGATTAAAAAGGCAAACCCTGAAACTATGTTTTCTTCTTCTCAGGTGTGCCAAAGGTAAAGTTGCTGTGTGGAGCAGATTTCCTGGAGTCCTTTGGTGTCCCCAATCTGTGGAAGAGTGAGGATATCACCAAAATAGTGGGAGAATATGGGCTTATATGTGTTACTCGGGCTGGAAATGATGCTCAGAAATTTATCTATGAATCCGACGTGCTGTGGAAACACCAGAACAACATTCACTTGGTGAATGAATGGATCACCAATGACATCTCATCCACCAAGATCCGGCAAGCATTGAGAAGGGGCCAGAGCATTCACTACTTGGTACCAGATCTTGTCCGAGAATATATTGAAAAGCATAATTTGTACAACTCGGAGAGTGAAGAGAGGAATGTTGGGGTTATCCTGGCTCCTTTGCAGAGAAACATTGCAGAAGCTAACACAGAAGAAATTCTCTAGCATGATATTTTGGGCTTCCTTTTTGGGAATTTGAAACAATATGGATGTTACTAACCGGGGAAAGGAATTCTGGTCCTCTCTAATAAACTAAAGTTTAAAAGTTGGGTAAAAATCAGTAGTAAATTAAAATCAGGTTTATCTTTTCATCAGAAATTGCGATGAATGTTTTCAGTATTTTTTTTTGAATATGCAAGTCCCTTTATCTTTAAAACAAGAGTTAGCAGTGCTGAAACCAAAAGAACATTCAGTCAGACTAACCACAAAGCAAATTCAAAAAGGACATCCTGGCTTTACCACATAAAGAGAAAGTATGAAAAGTTAAGAGTCCATTTGAGATCCTAACATTAGGTATGAAGGGAATGAACATTTTATGCATGCCTGTTTCTGGGCAGCCCTCACCCATGGTAGCCAAAGAAGTCATTCTCAAAGTAGTGAACTTGTAAAGTGCATCGCTGATGAGTCATCTCCAGCTATGCAAAATGCGGGCTGTGAATGGCCTGGCAGAAACTTGATGCCGGTAGTTGGTTCTGTGTGGCACACATCAGAAGGCCAGTGAAGCTTTGCTGAGGCACACTTGCCTGGAGCACCACCTTTGGAGGTAGAGAGAGGGGTCTAAGCCCTCTAGTGTTTAGAAAGGTGCCCAGGTGTCTTTGATGCCCACAAGAGCTGAGGAGTCTCCTGCCTCCGCATGTTCTGCGCATTCTCTTAGCACAGCCCAGCTGCAGCTCACGTTCTAGTCCTGGCCATCTGCCGACCTTGTATCTTCAGGAACAACTTCAGAGGGGACGTGTCCCACCTGGAACAGAGAACCACAGACAATGGGAGATCTCATTCAAGGGCTTTATGAAGCATGAATGCTCTTCACTTTACTGATAGCTTAATAATCAAACGATGAATGGATGTGAGGAATGCCACACTGGGCCAGCCCAGCAGTTCCTTTAGCTCAGAATTTTGGACACTGGCCAATGACTTGTGGAAGAACCATGATCCATGATCTCAAGGTGAAACACTTGAAGAGCCCTGCTGTTCCTCTCCGGCCCACTGCGAAGCTGCCATTTGTGAATTTAAGCAGAAAAAGAGTCTGTTTTCTTACACCTTTTCTCTTCTTGTCCTTTGGTATGAAGTTTAACCAAAGTAGAGCACTCAGATAATAAGTGAAGTCATAGCTTCACGTTAAATCACAGACTTGTTACGTGGTTTGCTACAGATTAGAATTTTGTGGAAGTTCTACCAGTTAGTAAAGCAAAAAAGACCAGAAATAGCTTTTTCTAGAATATGGTTCATGAAAATCATATTGTGATAGAAACAGGAGTGAAATTAAATTTCAAGTGAAAATAGAATAATCTACCTTTACTTACCTGTCCCTAGTAATTTACACTTCATACCTACACCAGTCTAGTTGAAGGAGATACACCTCTGCGGAAGAAGAAAAAAAACTTAGACCTGTGGAATTTTATAGTCAGATCTCAATCCACAGTTTAACAAAGGAAGATGTTAAATAAAATTGGCAAATGTAAATTCTGCAGCTCCTGACTTACTCTTACTAAAGCCAAGGAGCCAGCTTCTCGAAGACAGAGGGGAGCGCAGAGCCTGGCATCTAGTAGTTACAGTCTCTTGCCTGCCGGATGAATGAAAGGTTATGATTGCAGAGTGTGGAGATGGTCATCCTCAGCTTTTTGGAGTTTACCAAGAGTTGGAACAGCACCGACAAGTAACAATCTAGAAGTGGATGAAGTTGTCAGAATTTAAGTTTGATTTCTTCTTCTGGAAAACTTCGCTCAGGTCATCTGAAGTACGTGTGAGCTGCAGGAAGATTCCAGTGCTAGAAACTTCTCTTCTACTGTGATGCCTTTCAACCCAGAAGTGCCCACACCCTGCTCAGCTGTGAGTACACTGACTTCAGGACCCACTGGCTAAGGCATGTGGGGACCCTCCCAGGAGACCTGGTGATAGTGAAATGGTCCTATTATTGTGCTGTTTATGGATCAACAAACTTTGGACGTAGAACCAGCTACTTGGCTTTTTGTCCCAGTACCAAGAATGCTGCTAATGCCTCAATGTCATAGCATAGTTTTGGGTATCCTTAAGGACAGAACTTCCTCTTCAGATAATGGAAATTAGGACAGTGAATTTCACAGCGGGATAGATATTAGTGTTGTGATTTCCATTGAGGAAGATGAAAATATGCCATTGTTTATCCCCTACCATTCTATGTTCATACTTGGCTTTTGTGATGTGAATTTAGAGTTTAGGAAGTAATGTAGTGCTGGTGTTTTGTTCAATGCTGGTGTTTTGTGTGTGTGGTACTCCTTTACCCCTTCCATTGTGTAATCTGACACAGCGGACGAACTTTGAGTAAGAGCCCTTCACTGCAGCTTCATTCAGCTGAGCATGCAGCATGTGGAGAGGTTTTGTGTAGTTTACCTGTTCAGTGGACAAGTGTGAACAGCACTTGTTAGCAATTCCTTGGAACTAGGGCAGTGACTGTCCAGGCAGATTCTGTCAAGCTGTTGATTTAGCTTCATCTCCTTGCGTCAAAGGATGCTCGCTCTTTTTCTGCCCCCTTGAGTATCTCACTATAGGGTGGGAGGAAACACCTCCCCAAGGTCAGCGTGCACGCACGGTAGTGGCAAGGCTGCTGTCATCCTTACCCAGCCTCTCGGAGTCACTTCTGTGGGAGCCCAGAAGTTGCTCTGTTATGAAATGGTTCCTTTAACTGTATTTCTGAGTGCCATAGGACATCCCTTCCTGCCATTCTTGTAACTGTTCCCAAAGGCTTCTTGATCTAAAGTGTCCACCGCAGCATCTGACTGTGAGGATGCATAGCCCGTGTCCATCTCTAAAATCTGTACCTCATTTATCAGTGGTGCTGTTTGAACTTGACAGTGCCAGCGCTTACTGAGCACGTCCTGTTTGCCCGGCACGTGCTACCGTGTGCCTTAGATACAGGAGATGGACATGATTCGGTGACTTGTGTAAATAGCAAAACTGAAGCTTGAATGAGCAGTTTGTCTACAGAACCCGTGCTCTTAACCTCTCTGCTCCTTGTATAACATCATTACTTTTCAGAGAATGAAGTTTTAGCCCAATCTTCACATTTTCATCACCTAAAGTGGATAAATGCAAATAAATACAACTTTCAACAGTATGACCGTCTGGTGGGTTCAGTCCACACAGGTGGACTCAGTTGAACTTGCCCAGTGTTAGCTGCACTTGGAACTAGAGCAGTGAATGCCTGCTCAGAAGAAGGCGGGACCTGAGCCACAGTTCACTCCTAACCAGCAGAAAGAGAAAGAAAAGCACCCAGGTGCCCGTGCTTGTGGTGTAACGTCATCCTGCAGCACGGTGGCCTGTGAGACAGGGAGGAAGAAGCTTCTGCCTGGGAGGTGGGTTCTAGGTCCCGGCGTGTCAGTCAGCCGACTGGTGGGAGTCATCTGCCTCTCAGAGTCCCCCTTGGTAGAATAAAGCGATGATCTCTGAGGCCCCTTCCAGCTCTGAAGTGTTGTGGCCCCGATGGAGAGATGCCACTCGCACTGGCTTCTCATCTCTCTGAGCTGCCACTTGTCCCTTCCCTTCTGCATGACCAGGAAGCATTTCTCGGAACACTCGTTATGTGAGATGCCAAAGGGAGCACAGTCTTTGCCGCCAGGCCGCCTGCGGGGAGGCAGGGAGAAGTGCTGCATTTGAAGCATCAGCAAGGAATATTCCAGAGTCATTGCTGACGGCTTCCCAAAAGAGGGCCCACAGGTCCTGCGGGACAGGAAACACAGGACAGAGGGCGTTGCAGGTGGGGCTGCTGCCACTACAGATGATTTGTTGTTTAACAGAGGTTTGAAAAGTCCTGTTTCTGTTTTGTTTTTTGCCAACTCAGGCATCTTAGATGGGAAGAGCAAGCTGAGGAGAGGTGTGGGGAAGAACGGACCATGGGCTTCAACTGAGGCCGGGCGCGGGGGATGGGATGTGGGGGCACACAGGAGGGAGGCTGGGAAGGCGCCACATGAGGTTTTTGATCTGCTACAGCGCCGCCCGGCGCATGGTGGAGATTCCCGTTCTCGGCTGTGACTCCTTCTTGGGGCAGCTGGCCCTCCTGCTGGTGAAGTTACCACCTCCGTTTCAGCACTGGGAGTCAGGTCCCTTTCTGCATCAAGTGTCGTATAAGTCTGAGTGACTGCAGCGGACACTGTTTCCCAAATTAAGTTAAACTGCCTGATAAGTTTTTCCAAACCAGTGGGTAACATGACAAAAATTACACTTTAAAACATTAGGGAAATTTTCAAACATAGACAAAATTAGTGATAAAAGTATAAAGAACCTCTGTGTATCCAGGTCTTGCCCTGGAACTGGATCAAGCTCCCTGATGGCATTGCTTCCTTGAGTTAGGGAGGGGAGGTATGGATGGGGTGCAGTTTACCATAATGTCCTCCCCATTCCTTGCTGGACCAGTGTCAGACTCCATCAGGTGCTGGAAGAGTACGTCCACTCCCAGTGCCCTCATCATTCCCATCCATTACCACTAGGGGAAGCAGGGCTTTGACACAGATTTGGGACCTCCTGTTGGCTCTAATTTTATGGTTTACTTTGCCAGTATCAAATAGAACGAAATAAGGGGCTCACATTTGGCCAAGTAACTTTCTCTCCTCTTTCTTCTCCAGAGATAACTTTGGTCCTAGTCTAGAAGAAAGATCTTGGAATTGTAGAGGAGAAAATCACTCCTCCTCCCATGGGCAAATCCAATCTATGCCCACTTCAACTGAAATTCAACCCTACCCGTGATAGATGGCTCTTGCTCCAGCTGGCAGAAAACCACATGAACCAGCACAAAAGCTAAGTCATTGTTAGTTATTTCTGTGCCTTTCATTTTTCAGGCCAACGTTTAGAACAATGAGAGTTTAAGGATAGGAAGGAAATATGATTTCTCTGTGTCCTGTTCCCTTAGTCATCCGGAACTTAAACAGGTTTCAGAAATCTGGTCAGAGTTCATAGTTCTGTGCCCTTTAAATGGCAATGTACAACTAATCTCAGGGTTTGATGTCAGCCTGTCATATTCCACCAAAGGAATCAATGTTTTATCATTACCAGAATCAATAGCCCCATTCTGGGCAAGGCAATGTCACTCTGGTTTCTCAATAAAAATGGTGTTTCTTCTTTGGAAAGATCATAGCTCTTCATTCAACAAACATTTATTAAGCACTTGCCAGCCACTGCTAGGCCCTGGGGATATTATAGAGGTGAACAAAGTGAACATGGTCTTTGCTCTTGAAATTTTAATGA